TTTGTTTGAAGTCAAAGAAATTGCAGATTAGGCAGCCGTTCTTAAATAAAAGTTTCTTTCATAAACTGTTGACATCTTTTCGTGATGTTCTTGTTTGATTGACCAATCAAAATCCAGATAAGACCGGGAAGCGAGAAGTGAAATACTAGTCAATTGCACCATGCGGTTCTCTCTTCTCTGATTGGCTGAACAGACTGGAAAACCAACAAAATGTCAGAACGTTAATCCCATGAAGTAGAGACTCCCAATCGGTACGATAAAAAATGCGTGGAATTATTTATGTTTGTAAACGTTAATGAGCAGACATATGCTACTAGAGTTTGTCGTGCTTCTGAATAATTCGGAAATCGTATTTTCAGTTAGGCGGAGAAACTGCTAAAATCATCTCAGTGCCAACTTCTAAATTCACTTTAAAAAGTAAAGGAGACGCAAGGGTTTTTTTTACCAGATGTATGTCTGTAACCTTAAATTGAAATGGCAATAAATAAATTTGCAAGATATCCGTTGTTCGTTGTTCTTTTTTTGACTGTAAATTGCGAAAATCAGCGTAGTCAGTTAATCAGTTTTAATAAAAGAATTGACACAGTGAAATCAAATTTCGCGTCTATTTACATTTCGCTGGAGAGATTATTTCATTTTGGCATAAAAATTCATTATTGCATACTTGTACTATCTCGGCCCTTCATTTTAAAGTGCGTCTGTCGTCTATTTTTCTTCGGATTTGCTAGTTCCTGATGCCTATCTGATTGCTTAAATGGATCCTTTTTAAGACCTTAAAAGCTCACGTGAACAAGTTCCCAAACAAAGAAAGTTATATCTTCAATTAGCGCCTTATGATCAGCACTCTGAATTTAATTTCATCTGCGGAATGGTTGAAAATTCAAGGTACGTTGTGTTTTTAAAAATGTTTATGAATCATTTCTGATGCTGTGTGGTTTATTTAGTCAATAAACCCCTTCAGGCCACATCATATGAACGTATTAGATCAGTCTTCTACCGAAATAGTATGATTACGAAAATATGCTCCCATGATTGACGAAGAAACCTTTCATAACAATTCCTCCCATTAGCTTTTATTGAGTTGTGGCTCTAAAAGAACAACTCTGTTTTTCACGATTATTAAGCCCCTTTCAGTCGCTGTTATTTTATAGTAGAATGTTGTAGACTTTTCGTGTTCGTCTGAAATTGTACTGACTTGTTATGCGCTTTACATTGATGTTTTTGAGAGTTGTTATGTGCAGCTTTGCGTTTTCNTCCCCCGCCTCCTCCGTCATCCCCCACCTGCCCAAAACTTTGGGAAGCACAATTTTCAAATTACCGTGCAGGGCAAGCCCGAACAAGTTGCCTATATCATAAGATTGACTCTGCCGAAGTTTTTTCAGATGCAAACCATTGTTTGGGAAGGAGAATGCCGGCTTTCCGTCTTCCAGAACATCTAAATATCTTGCTATATATCCGAATGGTGGAGTTAAACCCTTAAACAGAGTTATTCTGAAATGACTTTGTGTAAGTTGGGCGACTTTTCTTTGCGTTTATTTCACGGTTCTTTACGCGACCCTTCACGCGTGGTTGCGCGAGGTTGCACGCGTTTTCAATTTCTGCTGACCAAATGATACTGCAGGCCCTGTTTCCAAAAGAGCAACAAACTTAAGAATGCGTGACGTTCATGAGATGTGGGTTATTTCAGTAAACAAACGAAGTAATTTTCCTCGTTATATTTGTGTTGCTTGGTTGAGCTGATGACATGCGGAGTAAACATGGATAACACGCACGCCCTGAGGTGATATGGGATGCAGAATATTCGCTTAATCACCGAAGCGCTGGAGCGCTCATGTGGAGAAATAGGTCGATAGCAACAGGTTTATTGAAAGAACGCGCGATATTGATGAAATGCAAACAGCCCCAACATCTTGTTGGATCCACAATGACTGATCTGGCGCAAACCATTCGTTGAACAGGGGTACAAAGAGTCTTGGGAAGTGAAGATGGAGAGAGATCTGAGAACTCTTCGGAGATCGAAGGTATTTTTTGAAACAGCACAAGCTTACGTAAACTTTGTATTAGTCCGTGTCAAAAGATTGCACAATGCACAAGTAAGCATGATTCTAATCAAACCACCTGACGATCTTTGTTTTCTCCTACTTGATTCCGTTATGATATCCCTCGTTTACAAAATTACTGCAACGTCCGCCGGAGTTGAAATTCCTTTTAGATAAAACCTTTATATGGATCGATGAGACTTCAATTTAGCTTGTCTAGAGGTTTCGTTACATTTCTGGAGAGGTTTGATCAGGCGGCGAAATTAACACTTCTTTAATATTGAACCAGTTCATTAGTTTGTGAAATGTTGACTTTTATTACGTCAAGGTCGTTGGTAAGGATTACTGATATATTCATCAGAACCAATAAAAACTGAAGCACTGCCTACCACGTTGACAACAGTGGTAAATTCAGACAATGTAGTAGTTGTTATGTTAACAAGTTACCATTTCAACTTGTTGAAAGCATTTGATTGATGCAAATGTTATAGAACAGCTCATTCAATAATTTAAAACAGAGTCAAATACAGCTGGGTATCCTGTAACTAGCTAGCTGGTGCTTGTAGAAACGAGCTTAAACAAAGAAGAACCGAAGGAGAATTGTACTTTTATTGTTCTTTACAAAACTTTTCGAACTTGATATATTGTTTTCTGGTTTTAATCGTTCGCTAATGGGAAGTTATGAGTTTTGATCCATTTGAATTCGTTTCAATTGTACATATTGTTCACAGTTCAAAGACAATTTTGCTATTCTTTCTGAAAACAACTAGCTTAACAGTTTTGTTTTGTGAACACAGCAAATTGCTGCAATCATAATTATTTTTTTAATATTTCTCAGTCTTCATCAAGGTGTTTTAGGAACTAAGAAATAAGCAATCTATTTAATATCATTAATTCTGTATCAGTGAACCTCAACAAATTCTTGAGATCCAGTGCTTATAGTTAATTAATCTTTATTTTATCTGGGGAAGTGACCGCAATACAAAAACCATTTTTAGGTGCTAATGAGCAAGTAAGAGGAGATGAAAAGCCATCTCTCATTCATTCATCATACATATTTATTTAACTTCTATTGATCCCAGACGTCCTTTGGAATGGCTTTCTTTTTCCAGGCCGTTTCGCAAACCATTGGTTTCATTCACGTGATTCAAAACAAGTGATCACATGATGATAAACATTTCTCGGTGCAGATGGCCAAAGTTTGCAGCCCAGCATTTGCAAATTCCCCAAAAGTTCCAAGTTCGAGGCAAATCTTATCCATGCAATGGATTTTGCATCTGTTGAACTCTTCTCTGTAACATATCTTAGATTGCACCTTGTAAGAAAGTGCAAAACTCAACAAACTTGCAAACAAACTGTGAAGCAACTTCCCTGACAGCAGAGATTCACTCATCACACAATCATGAATTCGTCATCACACAGTCACTTTTTTCAATCATGTGAATGAAACCAACAGTGCACAAAACAGCCTGAAAAAAAAAACCATTTCAAAGGACGTCTGGGATCAATAGCATATGTCCTTAGTATAAATCTATTACCGTGCTATCACAAATGCCATTCTGTGATTGGGTGCACTACTATCTATTCTGTTGCAGATAATGAGTAGCCTAGTAGTGTGCAGTTGTTAACGAAAATGGCAACAGCTTCTTTGCATTTTCAAAGTGTCTGCATGTGTAGAGGATAGATGTAGATAAAGTTTTGAATGACTGGTAGATTTATACTAAAACAAGGTTATTCTCTTTTGATTTCTATGTGTAAAGCCCTCATCAACTATCACCTGATAGAAATCTCAAACTTATAATCTATTAATGTTAAATAGATGCACCCTACATGGCACTCATAAACCTCTTGACCTGATATATATTCTGATGCTTTTTTTTAGCTCATGAACTATTCAGAGTTTCGTGTGATGACCACAGCTCTTGAAAAGTACTACAAAGATGTCAAAATTGCAATTTTAACCGGAAAGAGAGAAGCCAAAGATCTGGATATGAGGTACACAAGAATATAATTTTTTGCCTCAGTAATTGATATTTCACAAAAATTAGCTTGTATTTATTTATATATAGATCTATTTGGTAATAGGTCCTTCTCACCCAACTTGCTAGCTTCTTTGACGCAATACCTACCATATATAAAGGGACATGTTTCCTGGGGAGCAAGAATGCCATGTTGATGATAGTACTTACCTACCACTCCTGCTCAAAAATTAAAAAGCTCTTGCCTCCCACCTGTATGGCCTGGGCTCAATTGCTGCCTGATACCATAAATTTGACTAGCATGAGGTTGTAGCTGGCTGTCATCTTAATTACTCCAAGAGTTTTTCTATTGGGTACTCCAGTTTTCCTCCCTCCTTAAAAGCCCACATTTCCAAATTCCAATTTGACCTTCATAGAGGCCCCAGATGGAAACCAGCTAAGGCTGAAGTGGCTTTCACTCTAAAAATTATAATTCAATTTTAAGTTGTAGCCCTGCTGAGCTATATACAAACACTGGAATTTTATCCTCCCGTGGCCACATGGGAACACCTGAAGCAACAGTCTCACATACAGTGTAAACACTTGATTGCACAGTTAACTTTTTGTAATGGAATATTTTCTTGTAAGTGGAAGTGTGATCTGTTCCCAAGCATTGTGTTACTCCAGAAATTATCTATACCCCTCCCATGGAAGGTTTTTTTAGTTTGAAACCCTCACCCTCCTGGAAATTCTGGTTTAGCTTCATACTTTCCTTTGATACTTTTGGCTTTTGGACCCCCCCCCCCCC